GCGGGGAGCACAAGGGCAGGCGCTGACCTCCAACAAAAAGAAGAAGTAATTTTATCGGAATACAAGAGTTTTTTCTTTTCGAAATCCGAATAGAAAGGGTACAGTACAGGTTGGATTCGAATACAACGTGTAGGACCTGCACCGTTTCAATTTCGAAAAAGGATTGCGGCCTCGTCGGCCTCCTGCTCGCAGCTACCGGTCCTGGACCGCGCAGCTACCGGTCCTACGCGGTCCTAGCCCTTGCAAGACCCCAAAACCAAAAATGACCACCCTCCCGACGACCACGACTTTGAAATTTGACGTTGAACGTTGAATGTCTCAGGGGGGGAAAGCGCATCCCTGACGGGCTGCGAACTGGCGGGCCTTCACTGCGATGAACTTGCCGCCAGGGAGGTTCGGTCGTCCGTTGGCGCTGGTTATTATATTACAGCGCCATCGCCGAAGTATTTCGGGCTAATTTCATCCATTGGCGCAAGTTATAGCGCCATTGTGGTCGCGTCCACGCTTCGTCAACGACAGGCAAGTTATAGCGCCATTGTGGTTGCTCCTTACAGCGCGGAAGCCAAGGCACCTGCCCCCTGCTAAGATAAGTATGACCACAGCCGTTATGGAGATACGACCACAATCCACGCTTCGTCAACGACAGCAGGCTATTCAAGTCCTGATCGCCTATGGCTGCTTCGCTGTTTAAGAGCCACCTCCTGTCTTGGCACCAGCTGCATTCAACAGGTTTGTTGGTCGGCAGTTGTACAAACCGCATGTATGGGCGACATCCTGGGGCTGAACTCATTCCCCACGCTAAGGCAATGCCACGCACCGTTGCCAAGTTTACAAGGGGAGGCTCAGGCACCATTGCCCAGTTTGCAAGGGGAAGCTTCCCCCATGGATTGACTTACCGTGAGGGCACGGGTGCGCAGCCCGTAGTTCGTTTGTTTATGTGGTTCGGGAAGGGTAAGGTAGTGATTAYGCTATATGTATGTTTTGTCATGTTCGCTATATATAACTCGAAGAGAGTGCGTGTGTGGTCCCGGTTGGTGCTTCATTGACGATGTTCATGGGACGCTGGACCCAGTTTCCAATAGGTGGCGCTCCCCATCAATATACAGGAGAATGTATGTGTGTGTGTGTGTGTGTGTGTGTGTGTGTGTGTGTGTGTGTGTGTGAGAGAGAGAGTGAGAGAGAG